GAAGAGTCTGCAGAGAATCACCCACACATCTGGTGTTACCCAATTCCTCTCCCCGGCACCAGAGGATCCAACTCCTGGCGCCAACCACCCTGCATCTTGAGTGAGGAAGAGGGGCCCTTCTGCTGTCCCTTCCCCTCAGAGGTCCACAAACCACTCCAATGGAACGCAGACGCCCACGCCTGCCACCTGCCCCTGGGGACAGCAGGGGCCTGAGGCAGAAGGGCTGGCTGGGGGCCCACAGGCCTCTCCTGCTCCCAGCACTTCCCCCGCTTTCCTGACGTCGTCTTGGCGACAGGGGGACCCGCCCTCCCAGCCGGCTCTGGGCCCTCCCTGCAGCTCCCGGGCCCTCCCTGCGGCCTGTGTGCAGCTGGGCTTCCTTCCTGTGTGCGTGCGTGAGTCTGCGTGTGGTGGGGTGACTACAGGTGGTGGTCCTGGCTGCCAGGGAGGGCAGGAGAGATCTGGATGCAGCCCCACTGCAGGGCCTGGGGGTCCGTCTCAACCAATCTCCTTCCACTGCTTGTAGAAGTCCAGAACATTCTTGATGTCCACACTGGCGTGTGCAGCGGCCTGCAAAGCTGCCTAAGAGATGGAGGAAGCGAGAAAAGCAAGCGTGTGGAGCGTTCTGAGGAGAGAGTCCACCTTGGCACCTCTTCCCCATTCACCCGTCTCCCCACCTCACGGACCTACCTGCATAGGGCCGGAGAGCGCACCGGGGTTGTCCAGTGGAAGGCCCGTGACGATGGTCACCATGCCGCTCGGGTCCTCCTCACCTGCCCCCTGGGCCAGAGTCAACTGTTTGCAGCTGTCCAGGATCTTATAGAGAGTCCTGGGAGGAAGAGGAAGGGGGCCAAGCCCCAGCATGAGCACAGCCCGGACGCCAGGGTCTCCGGGGCCCAGGGGAAGCTGGAGACAGGGAGGGCAGCAGGAGCGCAAGGAGAAACCAGGCGGCCGGGGTGGTGGTTCTGGAGGGTGTCCTGCAGGGAGCGGGCGGAGGGACGCTGAGGGGGGACACCGAGCCCCGGCACCTCAGGGCCACAGGGGCTCCGGGGCTAGAGCCCCTTCTCTGTCCCCGCAGGGGGCAGGCGCAGGACGCCCTGGCGGGCCGGGCGACGCCGGGCTGGCCCACCAGCTGCTGCAGGGCCGTCCGGCCCGGGGAGAGCTCGGACGGGGGGCGGGCCGGGGGGTCCGGCCGCAGCTCCAGGAGCACGGGGCCAGCATCTTACCAGGCGTCCGCATCCCGCCTCTTCAGTTTATGCCGCTCGAGGCTCTTGCCCACTTCTTTTTGGCAGCGAATATACCTGCGAAGGAGACGGCAGTGGGGGGGGGTCAGGGGGGCGGAGCGCCTCCCACAAAGCACCTCGCTGTGGCCCAGGGGGAGGGGGCCCAGTGTCTCCCATCACAGCTCTGTTGGGAGCCGTTTCAAAGGAACTTCCTGGCCACTGAGCCCAGCTCGCTCTTCCTCCTCCTGATAACATCGATCCTTCAGCTCCTCCGGGGGGGGGGAGCCGAGAAGGGAGGAACAGCAGATGCTTTTCAAGTCAGGGCTTCTGCAGACAAGGTCCAAACAAGCAGGCTTTGTGCGGCTTCCCGGCCGGGCAGAGGCAGCGGGGGAGCCGGGGAGCAGGGGCCAGTTTCTCCCTCTACTGCGCCCACCGCCCACTACTCTCCCAGCCCCAGAGCCCGGAAGGGAGGGCCTGTGCGGGCCCGAGCACCGGGCGCGCCGCCACCTGCCAGCCCCTCGCTAGCTGCAACGGGGAAGGCACCCTGGTACCCCTGATCACACGGCCCAGCCCTAAAACGGCAGAAACTCCTGCCAAGGAGCCCACAGCCCAGAGCTGGGTGCGGGGGTGGGGGGGGGTCCTGCCCCCATCTCCCTGATGCTGACCTCGTGTCTGCCCCAGGAGCAAAAAGACAGCGAGTCAGTGTCCCCCGTGACCACCCTCCATCCATACCTGAGACCCCGACCTGTAATCACATCTCCCCATGGGGAGCCAGGGACAAACACTGTTGTCGGGGAGCCTGACCCGGGGCTCGGGAGAGGCCCAGCCAGGCCCACACTCACCTGTTTCCTTTCTTAAACTCTGCCTCCAGGTATCGGATCCCATCCCGGGCCCCTGGGTGTTCCTTCTTCAGCAAGTCCAGACCATCGATCACTGGTGGACAAGGTGGGGGTGAGGAAGGATGAAGGAGGTGAGCTCTCACTACTGTGGCCCAGGGCTCCACAGGAAGAGGCTGAGCACGTGGGGGTCCCCCAGCACCCCCCCCCACTGCAGGAGAAAAGCAGGGCCCGGGGCTCCTCCACGGCTCCCAGAGCTCTTCTGAAGCACGGCCTTCCGCGAGCAACAGAGCCGGCACTTCAGCAAGTGCGTTCGCTTAGATTTTTCTCTCATTTCTCCTAACCGTCTCGGGAGTCAGAGTTTAACAGAGACTGTCACAGGCGTTCCACAGATGAAGTGACCGAGCTTCAGGGAGGTGGCAGGACCTGACCGAGGCCACCATATGGAAACTGGGCCCCCGTGAGCGCTTCTCCATCGCAAGCCCAAAGTCCCTTCTCAGCCACACCCTGTCCCCCACCTCCCAGCACGCCTACCCGTCCTTGGGATGATGACAATGAAGCGGCCGCTGGTGGCCAGCTGGCGGATGACCGGGAGATGGTGGCAGAGGGCCTGGGTGTCGGGGACGAGGTAGGGAGACATTGCCGACTGGGCCTTGGGCTGCTGCAGGCTCCCTTCCAGCTGAGAGACCTCGAGCTGGGGACAGAGGGCAGAGTGTGGGGCTGCGCGGGCCCTGCAGCCTGGGCAGGGAGGATGGAACCCAAGGGGGCCCTCGTGGGGCGTCTCCTGCTGCAAGGGGGGCAGGGGGCTCCCTATACCAAGGCCTTGGAGGAAAGGGGGGCAGGAAGAAGGAAAGGTAAGGAGAAAGGAAAGACAACAGAGAAGGCAGAAAGGGGCCATCGAGGCTCAGTGCGGACATGGGCAAGGGAAGGCGGTCTGGGAGGTGACGCGGTTAAAGTAAAGGCCACCGCAGCAGGGGGGAGACGGAACAGAGCTGGGGGGGGCACACTGGAACGGGGGTAGGGGAGGCAGCTGAACAGAACGGGGGCCGTGCCACAGAGCAGGGGGCAGCGGCTGGAGGGGACGGTCTGCCGGTGGGGCCTGGCCAATGACCAGAGCAAGAGCAGGGGCAGCTGAGTCCCGACTGCCTACCTGAAGTCGCAGCTGGGCCATGTCTCTCATCAGCCTGTTCCGACGGGCTTCCTCCTGTGCCTACGAGGCAAAACACATGCTAAGCTTGGGACCAAGAGCTGGGGCCACAGTCCTTTCCCCAGCGATCAAGAGGTATAACAGATTATCCGAGAAGAATTCCCAGGGTCTGACACAGGAAGCCCTCATGTGAAGTCAGCTCTCTTGCTCCCGCTAAGACAGGGAGAGGGAGGCTCGGGAGACAAACCACTCCTCTGGCAGAGAAGGACCTGGAAACCGCGCCGAAGCTCTCGTTGGCCCAGGCGCCCGTGGCTGCACATCAGGCTTCCCGCTCTGCCCCTCTGCTCCGTGCGGTGCCCACACACCCGACCTTCTATCACCCTCCACTTGCCAACTTCCAAATCCGCAGCTCCAGCCCACACAGCCCCCTCTGCTCCTCCAAACCTGCTGCTCCCCTTCTGGTGGTCCCCAACGTGGGAAACCAGCCACCATGTGCGCAAGGCGGCGGCGGAGTGGGCTGTGACGGTTTCCTAGCGGCTCCCCAAGTTACTGCTTCCCCGTCCTGCCGACCGCACCGCCTAAAAATTGCTCACACCCTTCCGCTCCCCTCCACTGCGTGACCCCGTCTAAGCTGGTTCCTCCCACCTCCTCCTCCCTGGCCCATGCCCCTACCCCCAGCGACCTTCCCCACCGGCAACCAGACACTATCTGCTGTGCACCGTGGCCCTGATTAAAAGTTCTCTGATGGTTTCCCTTTGTCTTCTGGATGAGGCCCAAATTCCCTAACGTGGTCTAAAGATGAGATAAAGGGGGTGCCTGGGTGGCTCAGTCGTTAAGTGTCTGCCTTCAGCTCAGGTCATGGTCCCAGGGTCGTGGGATCGAGCCCCACATCGGGCTCCTTGCTCAGCGGGGAACCTGCTTCTCCCTCTCCCACTCCCCCTGCTTGTGTTCCCTCTCTCGCTGTCTGTCAAATAAATAAAATCTTAAAAAAAAAAATAAAGATGAGATTAAGGATGGGGACTTATCCTTAAATATCAGCTGAGGGGTGGCCACCGAAGACTCTTTGATAGGCAAAGTGACAGCCTCAGAGCGGTGCTTTACAACATTAACCCTGAGCGTATAATCACATTCTAACAACGAGAACACATGGCCGTGTCTGGACAAAGCCAGGTTGAGCGACACCCTACAAAATAATTGACCAATACTCCTCTGAAGTGTCAAGGTCACGAAAGGAAAACTGAGGAACCGTCACAGCCTAGAGCAGACCCAGGAGACACACAACCCTACATAATGGGGAGCCTGGGAAAGAAAAGACATTAGAGGCGCCTGGAGGGCTCAGTCGGTTAAGTGTCTGCCTTCGACTCAGGTTATGATCCCAGGGTCCTGGGATCGAGCCCCGCATCGGGCTCCCTGCTCAGCCTCTCCCCCTGCCCCTCTCCCTGCTGTGCTGTCTTTTCCTCCTGCTCTCTCTCAAGTAATTAAAAAAAAAAAGAAAACAGACGTCAGTGGAAAATATAGTGAAATCTGAATAAAATCTATGGTTAACAGTACTGCACCTGTCCCGACGTCTTAGCTGTGCAAGATTCACCTAAGCCCCTGCAGAGTCCTGCACGACAGAATGGCCCCTTGGGGAAACCCGGGTGCAGCAAGGAGAGGAGGCACCCAAGCAGGCCCTGCCGGCAGACTGACAAGGACGGGGGGGCGCTGTCTGTAGGAATCAAGCCCAGGAACAGCCTGTCAGGCTGGAATTGGAATTGTGACGCCCCCTCTGCCGGGGGGGGGGGGGGGGGGGGGGGGGGGGGGGGGCATCCATCTGGATCCAGGAAGAGGAGAGCCGCACCACCCTCGGGCTCTGGCATCCCTGGGCCAGTGGCTCAGAGATGTGGGCCTCTGCCGTCCTCAGGGAACACCTGAGGAACCACAGGAAAGATGGGTCCCTAACCCGGGCAGATGCCGGCATCCCGAAGCAGGAGCAGCGGCCCCTGGCACCCAGCGGGCCTGCAGAGAAGCCACGCCCCACAGCAGCTTAGAAGAGCCAGTCTGCCCAATCCCAGAGCCCTGGCGCTGCCACGGACGGTCTGTCTTCCGTGGTTCTGTGTCCCCTGGGCGAGCACAGGAGAGGGTAAGCGCCCCTTGCAGAGCTGCGCCCAGGGTCGAATGAGCTGTCCTGGGCCAACTCGACTTGGCACGCAGAAAGCTCTTGATACGTGATGGCAGTTGTCAATATGGGGATGGCCACAATTGCTGCTAATGGATGAGCCCTTGGGGTGGATGTGTGCCACTCGGCAGCGCAGGGGGCAGCCCCAACAGACGATGTGACCTCGGGGTCCAGCACCACCCGCGAGGGGCTTTCAGGCGCTCCCTGTCCCTGAGGAAGAGTCTTGGAGCTTTAAGCTAAAGGAAATGCCTCCAAAAGCTACCACTTTTTAAAGCTGTGTAATTTCCCCATAATTATCTTTGTAATTATGTGTTTTCCTCTACAGAACAGCAACAAAACCCTTAACACAAAAAGTGTTTTTTTGAACAAAATGAGCTTGCTTTTAAGATTGCAAAGAAGGGAGTTTCTGGTGAGTCTGTGTCCCTTCCCAGCCACGTGCAACGTCTGCAGGAAGGGGGTGCTCAGAGAGGAGGGGAGGCCTGCAGCTTGGAACGAAGAAGAACCATGGACGTTTGCAGAGACACGTGGGCCGTGCCTCAGTGCCAGACACCCCCCACACCAAATGCACCGCCATCCGGCCAGGGAGGACAGCACACTCGGAGCGTTGGAGGCCCCGGCGCAGAGCCTGGATTTTGCTCCCCGAGCATCAGCCCCACAAGAGAAAGGACTATCTTGTTTGCTGCTGTGACCCAGGTACCTACAGAATGGACAGGCCTGGCACAGAGCAGACGCTCAGTGTGTGGGGACCAGATTCTGAATGGAGAGGAGGTAACCCCGGCCACCTCCTATTTTCTGGGGCTCCTGGAGGGAAAGATCCTGCCTGGCGTCTGATACCCAGATCCTGCCACTCCCCCCGCCCCGAGTCTGCATTCGCCAGAGAGGAAGGGCCAGGAGCACCTGCTGAGCACGCACGGTGCCCAAGATGCACGCTCATCTTAGCGTCACAACTACCCTATGAAGCAGGCTTAGCAAGGAGCTCAGACTCGGGGGGGACAGAGACGGCCCTTAAGCCCAGGCAGCCTGGACACAGGCCTGGTGCCTTGCTGCCTCTACTCAAAGCACCGCTCCCTCCCTGTCTGCTGGCCCGTCCCTCAGCCCCCACCCCGCAGCCCCCATCCCTGCGCTCTTCCATCAGGGGCCCCCGGTCCATCGGGGCCTCTTAGGCCTGCTTTCTCAGCGCACCCGGCGGGAGCAGAGTAGACAGGGAGGGGAGGCAGGACGACTCACCATGCGGAACTGCGCCTGGGCCTGCTGCAGCACGCCCTCCTGCTCCGACTGGGCAATGCTCACGAAAATGCCGGCCTCCGCGCTGAACTGCAGGATGCTGCCTTGCAGGCGGGCCACAAAGTGGCCAAAGCTGCGGATGCAGCAGATGCGCACGACCGACTGTGAGGGGATGCGGGAGCCGGTCAGGCGGGGGCTCCTGGGAAAGGCCCGTGGTCTGGGGGGTGGGAGAGGGGAGCCCCGAAACCCAGAGCCTCGAGTTGCCAGGAAAGGAGACTCCAGGCAGGACTGGTGAACCAGGACTCAGGTGGAGACAGAACAGGCAGCGCACTGGGCTGACAGCGAGGACCTGGGCGCTCACACCGCCTCCCTCCTTGGGGTCTTACGTGAAAAACAAGGGGACTGAGCTATTTTTTTGGTTGGCAAAACAATTCTTCCCCATCAGACAAAAATCTTCTCTAGAACCCTAAAACATGAAACAGACTAGAGCCAAGGTGCTCTGGCTGGAGAGGAGCAAGCAAGAGGCCTATGCGTGTGCCAGTGAGGCCGCTGGGAGCCTGTCTGCTTGGCTTCCCCTGCCATCCCCAGACGGCCCGCTCGGGAACGCAGACGCAAGGGAGACCGGCCTGGGTGGGCAGCATTCCCCCTTCCCGCTCTCTGATGGCCTCCTGTCCAGCTCACAGGACACTGCACCCAGAGTGGAAAAGAGCATGAGAACAGCTCCTAAGCCCTAATGGCTCCCCCGTTCCACCCTCTGCAAAAGGTGGACGTGGTGGAGGGAAGTCCACGAGCAGACACCCATAAAGGAGCAGCCTGCAGGAAGGAGAGCAAGCTCCGGGGCTCACGAAGGAGGCATGGCCAGCCCAGCCCTGAGGACACCCTGCCTGTCTGGATGGGAGGGCCACCTGCTTCACTGTGGGGCTGGACGAACAACAGAGCTGGTGGCGTCAGAAACACCATCCTCACCTCCTCTAAGGTGCTAAGCAGGGGCCGATCCGTGTCAAAGTTAAAGCGTCGATGGGCAGCCCGGAGGGGAGGCAGGTTACGAAGGGCCGTGTCCTCTGGGAGCAGCAGGCTGGAGGGCAGGTCAGGCAGTTCACAACCTTCGAGAAGGTCCTGGACCTCGGGACACAGGGCCAGGCCTGGGGAGAAGACACGTGAGACCACCTGCCCTGTGGAAGCCCCCAGAGGAACGCAGCCCTTCCCCTTGTAGAACAGGGAGATGGGCACACAGGGCCGTTCCACACGGCTCGCGGAGACCAGAGCTGGTGGGGTTGGGGGAGCAGGGCAGGCACGGGGAGCAATGGGCTCTGATGTGAAAGGCTCCCCGACACCAGGGTGGACCCAAGGAGGGCTCTGGAGGAGGACATGCACACCTCTCAGGTGAGGCCAGAGGTGGGAACCGGAGGACAGGTGCAGCTGCAGGTGGCAGGAGGGGATGAGCTCTGGAGGCCCAGGAGGACTCTCAGCGACTGGGGCTGGCTCCCAGGCTCGCCTCTCTCTGCTCCTGCCCGCCCCACGGCCTTCCCCGGGGAGCACACTCCCTGGCCAACTAGGCCACCTGCCCACAGGGAGGCAGCGTTGGGGGAAACCGGAGACGCAGAGACCACAATGGCTGCTGTGTGTCAGGGTGGCAAGTCATTGAGTCCCATTAACCTCCTTCCCCTCAGGCTGGGTTACCAGGGAGGGGGCTGGGCGTCGTGGGGCCACAAGGGAGAGGGGAAGGGGGGTGCTGGGCACCCACTCACCAGACTCCTGGAGCTCACCAGCAGCTGGCAACAGGTTCAGCAACACAGACAGACGATTCCACAGACTTTGAGAGCTCTGTGGAGAGGCGAGGCCTTCAGCGGAGTGGGGGGCGAGAAAAGCAGGACGCCTGGGGGGTCTAGGGGCTACGGCCACAGGCCTAGAGCGATCTGATAGAAAAATTAACTAAAGAGGCCAAGGGGGGGGGGGACTCCTGGGAGACCTGGAAAACAGGGAGCTGATCCCATGAGGAATGAAGGGGGACCACGGGCCTGGCTGAACTTCATCACCAGCAGCAAGATCATGGGGAGAGAGTGTGAGGCCACAGGAAGGACACTCTGGATTCTGGGAGTGGGAAAAGCTAGAGGGCTGGAGGCGGCTTCTCCCCATTGTTCAGCCTTCCGTGTGCCCACCCTGGGACACCTATGTAGGGACCCCATCTTTAGCACACCTGATGACTAAGGGTGGTGAGTAACCCGCTGCCAACACACTTAAGCACACACCCAACAGTGTGCCTGGCCCTAAGCCCAAATCTCATCTGGGGAGGAGGGCGACATACAGGGGAGGGGTCTTCCACGGCACAGCAGATGTGTTCCTGGGATAAAGCAACACTGAACAAAAACCCCAGGGCCCTCAGGGCTCAAGACAGACCGAACCTGGGGAGAAGGCGCCCGCGCCCCCCGCCTCCACAGCGCCAGCCTGATACCATGCCCTCCACTGTTTCCCTGCCCCAACGCCTCCACCCTGTCTGGCGGTCCCGCCGTCCCTGGCTCCCGTCTCCCCGGCACCACTTGGTGCCCCCTCCTCCCTCTGGACACCGGGACCAGGCTCGAGGCCGGCCCTCACACACACGCCTTCGTCGAGCCCAGTCCGCCCGGTGCGAGGGGCACAAAGTGGACTAAGCAGCTCTCGCTTTCCCTGTCCGCGGACTGTGGGGCCCAGCCCAGGCCACAGGCTCCTGGGGGCAGAGGTCACATCTAATCCTTTCCCTGTAAAAAGCCTAAGGGCCCACCCAAAGCGGATGCCTGCCGTAACTTCTATGGTGACGGAACCAGCTGAGGGACCTCCTGGCTGTGCTTCCCCCCCAACACCCAGAGCGCCGCACCTGTGCACACACGACAATGAGGTCAGGGTTGGCCCGCAGCCAGTCCAGGAAGACCTTCACAGCAGGAAGCAGGCCTTCGGCCGCCAGGACTTGTAGCTTCTCCTGGACGCTGCGCTCATTCCGACAGGAGCGCCCGCTAGACTCGCTGCCCTCTGACTCGGAGCCCTCCTCAGAGGCTGGGGGTGGGGGACAGAGAGCCAGGATGAACAGCAGGCACGCGGCATCGGGCTTCAGCTCCAGGCCAGGGGGCATGCTCTCCCTGCCTGCCCTCTGGAGCAGAGTTCTAATGTGAAAGATCGGGAACTCGCTACGCGCTCCTGCTTAATCTTTCTACGCCCACTAACCTGATGCTTTTAAGCCAAGAGACTGGTGTCTCCACCCTTCTTGAGACGCCTGGATGGCTCAGTTGGTTAAGTGTCTGCCTTCGACTCATGCCATGATCCCAGGGGTCTGAGATCGAGCCCTGCATCTGGCTCCCTGCTCAGTGGGGAGCCTGCTTTTCCATCTCCCTCTGCCTGCCGCTCCCCCTGCTTATGCTCTGACAGATAAATAAAATCTTAAAAACAAAAACAAAAAATGTTTCTTTCTGGGTCCCCTGGGTGGCTCAGTCGTTAAGCGTCTGCCTTCGGCTCAGGTCATGATCCCAGGGTCCTGGGATCGAGCCCCACATCAGGCTCCCTGCTCCGGTGGGAAGTCTGCTTCTCCCTCTCCCACGCCCTCTGCTTGTGTTCCCCTCTCTATGTCTCTGTCAAATAAATAAAATCTTAAAAAACAAAAACAAAACAAAATACAGTTCTTTCTGTCTCAAGCTAACTTGGGAGGATGATCTACAGCTATTCCCTCAACCAGCATTTATAAAAGGCCTACTCTCTGCTAGAAAGCAGGGCAGACAATCAGAAGGGAGCTGTCAGGGGGGAAGAAAAGGCATACAGAATTAAAACACCCCTGAGGTGCCTGGGTGGCTCACTTGGTTAAGTGTCTGACTCCTGGTTTCAGCTCAGATCACGATCTCAGGTCTGTGAGATCGAGCCCCGTGTCGGTCTTTGTGCTCAGCACGGAGTCAGCTTGGGATTCTCTCTCCCCCTTTCCCTCCCTCTCCGCTCCTCCCCCCTCACGCAGGCACACGCTAGTAAATGAATTAAATTAAAAAAAAAAAAAATGGGGTGCCTGGGTGGCTCAGTCGTTAAGCGTCTGCCTTCAGCTCAGGTCGTGATCCCAGGGTCCTGGGATCGAGCCCCGCATCGGGCTCCCTGCTCAGCGGGAAGCCTGCTTCTCCCTGCTTGTGTTCCCTCTCTCGCTGTGTCTCTCTCTGTCAAATAAGTAAGTAAAATCTTTGGGAAATAAAAGAAAAAAGGACGACCCCACCTCCTACCTCTTTAACCTAGCAGGTCAGAGCACGGAGCAGGCCGCTCCAGCTCTGCACCCTGGCTCCCTAGCTGCTTCTATCCCTGAAGCATTCCCTACGTGACGCACAGGCACAGCACGAGAAACTGAGGATCCAAGGACAGACCAGACACACACGTCCTGCCCCCAAGAGGCTCATGGTCTCGCTGGGGAGACAGACAAGCCAACTGACAAGTACGCCTGAGTGGGAGAGGCCTAGAGGCTGTGGCAGGGCAGAGACCACAGGAGCCCACAGGGAGGAAATCTCCCCTGGCCTCAAAAGAATCCTAGACGCAGGGATTTCTAAGGGAAAGCCAGAGGGCAAGTTAAGAATGAGCCAAGCGACAGGCCAGGGGCAAGAAGCAGCATTTAGAAGAGGGATGAGAACTCTTCCCCAACAAGAGTGCTGAGAAAGTTCAATAAGACAACAGCCAACAGTCCGGCGCCTGAGAGAGCAGGCACTGGGCGCCTCCTGTGTGGGGAAGAGCCTCGGGAGAGAGGTCCCCTGGTGGGCCGAGGGCCGGTGGCGGTGGTCGTGTGGGGAGACAAGCCCCACACTCACGGGGCAGAGCGCCAGCAGCAGTGGGGACTCTCAGGACGACACTCCTGGCCAGAACCAGAGGAAGCAGGGAAGGCAGCGTGGAAGGGGGGGAGGCTCCTGCAGAGACAGGCAAGCCGCCTCTCTGGGGCGATGGCGGCAAGTGCGGACCAGAGCAGCCCAAAGAGCTACCTGGCTCCAAGGGCTTGTCCGCATCTCCGTTGACACAGGGCGTGCGGCTGGCCACGGTGTGAGGTTCGCTGGGGGGCTGGAGGAGCAGGTTGCTGAAGGTGGGGGCCAGTCGGAAGCAGCGCTTGGTCTGGAACATCTGGGTGGACATGGCTTGCAGGTTGCTGGCAATGCTAGCTTCACTGGGGCCCAGGGGGCCATTGAGAGACTCGGGAGCCTCTGACCTGGGCCGAGCGGGCTCCAGGGCTGGGGACCGTGTCCCCTCCTCATCCTCCATGTCCTCCAGGTCTGACCGGGACTCCTGGCTGTTCATTTCTGAGTCTGTCTCAGCATCAAAGGCTGTACCCCCACCTTCGAGACTCTTGTCGGAGCCACTGTCCGAGCCCTCACTGGCCCTGGCTGAGTCGTGGCTGGAGTCCGAGTCAAAGCCTTCGCTCAGGTCACTGTCCTCTCCAGCTCTGGGTGGGTGGCGGCGACGGCGGAGGCAGGAGAGACGGGAGAACTTCCGGCTCTTTCTGATCTCACCTGCGGGAGGTGCTGCAGGAGGGGGCTCAGGGCCTGGCGCCTCCTCCTTCTCCAAGGGCTCATCTGTGCAGAGAGGACAGTCAGGAGGGGCCTCGGGACAAAGTGGAGCCCCGAAGTCGGAAGGTGCTCTTCAACACCTCCTCCCGAGCCACGCCCATGCTCCCCTCCCCCCGCCCCCCGCGCCCCAGGCTGGCCCGGCCCTGGTCGCATCCCCCCCACCGCCTGCACCTGTGCCATCGCTCTGGAACGCCGGCACGGGGTTCTCGCCCTCCTCCAGCTCAGCCTGCAGCCGTATATTGACGTGGTTGACCAGGTGGGAGAAGAGGGCCAGGGTGAAGGCGATGGCCGCGCTGTACTGCTTGCACCCTAAAGCCAGGAGAGCCAGGCATCAGGGGCCCAGGGCTGTGAGGAGGAGGTGCCATTCGCTCCGGCCCCATCTCACCTGGTCTCCACCCTTCCAAGGATCCAACTACTTCTCAAAGCTTCTTCTATGGAGAAAAGACTTCTCAGGTCTCTGCGTGATTATCCCGTCGTCTAGAACGCATCAGCTCGCTCTGCGCGTCCCCAGGTAAGCGTCCCCTCTAGCCCCACGCCGTCCTCCCCGGCTCTGACGCCTTCACGCGGGCTCCTCCTCGGAGCCCAAGCACTGCACACCCGGCCCTGCCGCCCCCTCCCTCACGACCCGGCTCCACACGCGCTGCTGCCAGAAAGGTCTGCACAACTGCCCGAGCACCCCCACAGCGACGTCTGAATTCTGTCTGGGTCATCGGCTAAGTACCCTGCCTCTCCTGTCTGCGGGTTGTGGCCAGGAGTGTGTCTGGGAGGAGCACAGGGGAGGGGGAGTGGAGATGGGCCGTGGCCTCTGTTCCTTCACCAGCAGCTCCTTCAGGGTAGGGTTCCCCGGCCCTCACACCCACAGCCAAATGCTCGTGGGAGGAAGTTGGGCAGCGAGGCCCCCAGCAGCCCCGGGGGAGAAGGCAGGGCACGGGGAGTTACCTGCTCTCTTCAAGCTGTGCACGCCCATGAGACAGATGATGACCATCTGAAAGATGAGAAGGTCCGGGAGGAAAGCGTAGCCACCCTCGTAATCCTCCTCGCCCTCACTGGCCGGGCTGAGGCTGGCGGACGGAGGCAGGTAGAAGAGGCAGAGGTTGAAGTCCTCCAGGACTGACTGGCAGAGTGACGTCAGCTCTGAGTCCACTGGGCTGCAAAAGGGCAGGAGCGACAGGGACGTCCGTGACTCCGTCTGGGGCAGGCACGAGGAGCCGCGGGCATGGGGGAGGCCACAGACAGCCACCCTGGTGGGGCCCACAGGACACAAGTCAAGGGCCTGCCCTCTCGTACTCACCTGCTCCTGGGCTGTAGGAGGCTTTGCAGGTACATGAAGTTCACCAGCAACCTCTTGATGTCTTTACATCTGGAAGAAGAGGAGCCCAAGGGAAATGGCAAATAGCTCGAGCCCTCCGGTCCCACCGCACCAGCCGCAGAGACCCCTCCGCCCCACAGGCCCTACGCACCGCTTCTTGCTGGGAGACAGTTTCCGAGTCTCGCACTTCTTCAGCTGGTGGTACATTTTGGCTGCCTTGTCATACAGCCGCTTGAGATTCCCATAGGCCCCCTCAAAGGACACTTCTGACTGGATGCTAAAGGAGATATAGATGAACGCTGTGGAGTCTCAGCAGGGGACGGTGCTCTACTGGTGCTTTAGGGAACAATTCTTCTGGCCAATGCACGCTGCCCCCAGCCTCGCCTTTCACATACAAACTCAGGGTGAAGGCCATCTTTCCGGATAAAATACACAGACACAACTTCCAGATAAACATACTGAACATAATGCCTTCGCTTCCTCCATAAGTGGAATGATTGCTTCTACTCTGTTATGGACTTAAGTAAGTTACCATCCCTGAAATACACCAGCCTCCGTCTTTTGTGAAGCACAGAGTACTTAACAGGTGGCATCTAACAAGCCGGCCACATACAAGAGAGTGTACACACAATTTCAGGGCTCACGACACTGGTTCGGATGTGCGTGTGTGCGCCATGTGCCAGGCCCCATACCGATATACTGTCCGCACATACGCATGAGGACGTGGAGCCCGGAAGAGCAGGAATATTGTGCAGGCCCATGGTGAACACAAGCTAGAGCAGAATCTCCAAGCCCAGCCTGCCTCACTGCAGTATCTAGGACACCAACAGTGCACTGGGCCGTTTTTAATGTCTTTTCTGGGGAAAACCACCTTCTCGTTGTTAAGAAGCAAGGGATAGAAAAGAAGAAATATATGTTAATGGCGAATAAAAGATAGCCATGAATTCACTGACACTCCTTCCATTCAGAAGTGGGTTCTGTGTGTCCTCCCCTTAAATCGGGGGAACCGGGGGGAGAGGACCAGGCAACGCAGCTGCTCTGACCAGCAGAACACCATGCAGGTGACTCTGCCAGTTTCCAGGCCCAGGCCATAAGAGAATGGCAGATTCTAAATCTCTTGGGTCATTATCCACTGTCTGGAGCCTTGAGCCACCACATAAGAAATCCGTCTCTCCCAAGGAAGAGAGACCACATGGAGTGGGAGGGGGGATGAGCCCAGATGCCTCGATCCAGATAGATCAGCCCTCCAGGGCCGCTGAATACCAGTGACTGATCCTAGACAAGGCCACTGGGGGGAAAAGAACTGCCAGACTGAGCCCCACCCAAATACCTAACCCATGGACAGGAGACGCGAATGCTTTAACATAGTAGGGCAGGACCTCAGCAGGTACCTCCCAAACCTGGACGTGCTGGGCTGTCTTTGGAAGTGACTCACCCTAAATCATGGTCATGGGTGTGATGAAGGACCAAGGGGGCATTCCCCGGAAGGCACGAGAGAATTGGGGAAGAGGCAACGGAAACCTACAAACCTGGTAACTGTATTTACGAATGAAAACAGTGGCCTCAGGGGCCAGTCTGTGCCGATCCAGGAAAGGAGACAGGCACCCCAAGAGGAGATACTGTGTTGATTCAAGGGAAAAGGTTTCCTGGACCAGGTGAACCAAGGATCATGGCACAGAGAATTAAAAAGCATAATCTTTACACTTTGGCACATGACCAGTACAGTTACGAAGGCCGGCTTACTTTACTCCCTTTGCCTTGAAGCCCAGTTCACAGCAGTGTCTTCTGCAAATGTCTGGCTTCTCATGGAGCCGTCAGCCCCTATGAGGCTGCCACGGGGGCCCAGGCAGTTTATTTCCTGACTATAACGTCATCAGAGGCACCGGCTGACCTATCAGGCACACGTGCACTTGGCTCTGCCAACTCAGTGACCTAAACCCACTCAGCCTCAGCTGTCCTGAAACCGAGGTTTCTTATTCTGAGGGAGCATCAGCACCGGGGAAACAGTGGGCCACCCTGCTGCTCAGCTGGTCCTCCCACACTGTCACCACGGTATGGTGTGAGACACTGAAGCTCGACAGTTCTGCACTTCTTGTCAGCCACTACCCTGATAACATTTTACCCCCCACATCCCATGTATTTCCTCCTTCCAGACAGCAATCCTGAACTTACAGGAGACGGCGGGTAGCTATGTTGGCTGCCCAAGAGCCTACACATCCAGTGGGATCTCTGACAAGCAGCGCTACCTCAGCCCAGCGCAGGAAAGGGGGGGGGGGGCGTGAAGAAGCAGGAGGCCACCAGGCCGGGGGGACAGGAGAGAGGCAGGCACTCACCAGCGCAGGTAGCAGTACATGGCCTCCACGCTGTAGTACTTGCCGCCTGCAAGCGTGCCCAGCTGGTTGAAGGGCATTCCTGAAGGGAGACAGAAGTCACGCGGTCTGGGGCCAAGACACGCACCCGTCATCACCACGACCCAGCACTGCTGAGCACCGGGTACTCGTGGGGAGGAGGACCGGGTCTGCAGCGGACACCGGCGTCCCTGGGGAGGAGCAGCCGATCCTATTTCCCCAGGGGACTGACTAAAGACTCCCTGCCGGCCTGGCCTGCCAAGGGGTTCAGCACCGAGGGGCGCCATCCCGTCAGCAGCGGCTGCGGCCCCTCTAAGGCTGATGGAATGCCATGGAGCCCTCTCCTCCATCCCAGCTCGGTTTCTCACCCCTGAGCTCTCCTACTACGAGCTAATCCCCACTTCTCCCTGTAACAGAGCCGTCTCCCTTCTCCCACTGTGCAGGCCACACGAACAGCTGAGGTAGAAGTTCCTCTTTCTACAGAGACCTCAGGGACAGGGGAGCCTTCTCTTTCTTCCCCTCTGCCTGCCTCCCTCCTTCTTAGATCAGGACTCTGCATTTCTCTTGAGCATGTGTTCTGAGGGGGAGAATGCACTACCAAGGTGAAGTCTGATGGGACCGAGTATGGGAAGGACCCAGGGAAGCCAGTGCGGCCTGCCTGCCCTCTTTAACGTTGTCTTCCTGTTGGAAAATGCTGCCTGGTAGGGAGGCCCGAGTGGGGGTGCCACTTACCAATCTGGGGAGCTACTGACAAGGCTTGGTAGTAAAATCTCTCAGCTAGCAGCTCAGTGTCTACACCAGCTAATTCATTCTGATATCGTGCTGCAGGAGACAGAAGGAAGGAAACGTGATGATGCTGTTTCAGAGAAACCTCCCCTCGTCTGGGAGTCCACTCTGTGGAGCTGTAGTAAGAGCCTGGGAGGAAGATACCTGAGCTGGGAGGCAGGCTGCTTGGGCCTCTGGCACAATCTTAACTCTGCCTGACTATGTGCAAATTGTCCAACTCTCTCTTCCTTGCTGGTAGCTTCAAAATGTAGAGAACGATCAGTGTTTGTAAAAAGACACTTAAGCAATGAAGGGGACCTGCAGCAGTCGTAACCGCTTGGGAAGACCCCTGGTACTGGGTTCTAGAATATAGCTGCTTGATTCTGAAGTGAAGACATTACTGAGGACCCCTGGCCAGTCTACACGAAGCAGCTGGCTCTCTCTGTGCACAGGGCCCATGAGGGGACCGGGAGTGGGCGGGGCAGGGAGGGAAAGAGCCTCAGCTGACAAAAGGGAATGCATCCAACAGCCTCATGAGAAACCTTTAGCTACCAGGACTAGAGGCCCAGGGGCCAGCAGGCAAGAGAGTACTCCTCCGTTCTGAGAACATTTGTCGGGCAGGGAAGTCCTCCATGAGACCCAACTTCAATTCCTCTAGGAGTCCATGAAGAAAGAAAAAAACCCCAAAGAAGGAGAAAAGTATCCAATTAAGGTCTTTCTAACCCGCTACTGAAACTGAGTAATCACCCAGACTTTCTCAAAGTTCATTTTCCTTCTTCCATAGCCACTGGTCCTTTCTGGCTCACGGAGGAGCAGTGACAAGGGCACATCGTTTGATGGGGGTGTTACAGAAGCCAAACTCCTCCTCCTGCTCTCCCATCACATACAAGGTGGGATCAACAACAGAAGCAGCTTTCCGCCTGTCCTGGAGCCCAAACCAAAAATGAAAGGTTCCGATTCTTACACAAATCCCCCAGGTACATGAGACATCGGTGGCATGCCATCTGTGCCCAGTCCATCTCCTTCCCTGACGCAGACACTGGCTTCTTGCATCCTGCGAAAGACAGACAGAGACACTCAGAAGCCCGTTCCCCGGCCCCCTACCTAATGGGAAACACCTTTCCTAGGTAGAGAAAGGAGATCAAGAATCCACGGCTTGTCCTGAAACAGTGTTAGGGGGCAGAGAAGACACGCATCCGGGACCCAGGTAGAGAGACAGAGGCTCACCGGTAGGGGTCATTCACAAGAGAAGAAGGAACTGGAGGAGAGGGGCAAGGGTCCTTGGGCCAGGACAGTTCCCTGGGAAAAGGTGACGTGAAAGGTCATCATAGGAGGGCTTCTACAAAGGAAGAAGAGGTGAAGCTCAAGTGTCAGGGCAGTCTTGGGTGCCTTGGGTAGAAGCTCCCCACATAAGGGCGAAAGGTTTGAGTAGAGATGGGAAACCTGTATGTGAGTCCAAGGTAGGTGCCCCAGGCTTCTGCCTGGGGAGGAGGCGTACGGAGAGGGCTGCCTACTGGAGGGTATGCCCATGAGGGAGACAGCTGAGCTTGTCATGCCTGAGGACCGGTGTGGCCAGAGCCTGATCTGCTGGGCTCTCCACTCCCCCTTCACCCAAGCACTTTGTAGCCTCAGTTCAGAGAGCTTGAGCTCTTTGGGAGGCAGTTTTCCCACGTGCCAGGTACTGGCCTACGTGTCACTCAGTGTCAATTTAACGGATCCCCACAGCAAGCTCACGGGGTGGTCACTCCCACTGCTCCCGCGCGGCAGTCAAGGAGACTGTCACACAGCGGGTAAGTGGCAGAGCCAGGACTCGAAAGGCACACTGGCTCCAGAGCCCCTCCCCCCTTGTCCACGTCGCTGTCAGCCACACTGCCGGCTGCGTGATTCCCACCCTGAAAAGTGGACTGAACAGCGTAGTTGGCTGAACGCAAAAACATCAACGAGGAGGAAAACGGAGTTTGGGGAACTGATTCTCTGAAGTGAGACAGTATTTGCTGTCCTTCACTTCTGGGGGCTCTGGACCTCTCTGGCCATCTCGTATAGTCTGTGAGGGCGGTCTTAGGTTACACTGTTGTTTTTAAACCATGTTTTGTAAATGCACCAAATGCGGTGCTACGCTTCTGACCAGAGACTGCCCTGTGGCGGCAGAGACACAAGCTCGGGCCCAGAGTGTCTATAGCAAGGGTGGGGGCAGAGTCGGGGGAGGGAAGGAGTGTGAGGGGCCAGAGGTCAGACAAGGAGGGAAGGAGGTCAGCCAGAGTCGCTGACACCTCAGGCAGCCGCACAGAGACCGGGGCTATCCTGCAGGAATGTCTGTAATCCCCCACGTTTCTAAAACTTTCAATACTTGTAAAAAAAAAAAAGAAAAAACTGGGAAACAATCTCTGAAGTTAAAAGAAACAGTGCTGGGGGCACCCGGCCAGCTCAGTCGGCGGGGTGGGAGGCTCCTGATCTTGGGGTCGTGAGTTGAAGCCCCACGCTGGGTGTAGAGGTGACGTAAATAAATAAATAAATAAAAACTTAAAAGAAAAAGGAAACGGTACCAACCAAATTCAACTGCAAGAAGAAAACAAATGCTATTAATACCATCCTCCAGTGCCAGACCTGCTCTAGATCATTCCATCCCTCCTTCTGACTCAGTCTACAGTCCCAACCAACAGAAACCTCTCTCTTTCCTTCAGATCTTCACCCTACCTCATGTGCTTGTTTGGATAAACCTAAAGTCCATGGACCTCTGAAGGTCTTGTTAGAATCCTCTCTGCCTGGCTAGGTCACAAGCTACAGAACCCAGAAGAATAAGAAGGCCAGATGTGGAGGCATATACCCTTTCTCCTCAAGCCCACCTTTCAGATTTCACTGACCTATGAGGGGGTCGGTGACATGGGTCCAGTCGATGCAGCACTGAAGTTCCAGCTGGTAGTGGGACTGGATATAGAGAAGCAGATGCTGGTAGAAGCCAATCCCAGCGACCAGGTGCGTTCTGTAGGCACATTCCAAGGTGCTCCGGCTGTGGATGTGCTGGACGTTGGGAAAGCGAAAGGGCAGCTAAGCAGTAAGCTCAGAGGACTGTTCCTCCTCCCCAACCCCATTCCTCTCATGAGCAAACGAACTTAGATTCTTGGCTCTGAAACTTCATCCACTCTCCTTTCACTCACGAGTTATCCCCACACCCTTAGATCCACTTCTCTGAACTTCCCATCTGGGATGAGACTCCCCGCTCCCCAAATCCTCATTACATCTGCCCCCTCCCTCCTTCCTGCCATCTTTTCCTTGGTTCCTCTACCTCCGACCACGTCCTGGCCCACCTTCTTACCTATCTCTTCCTTTCTTAGCTTCCCTCTTTAGACAACGTTTCTTCTCAAAATCTAGGACCTCCCCTTACCTTTTTGTTAGTCTTGATAAGCTGAATAACTTCGTAGTATACCTTTCTCCATAGCAGCTCCTCAGCCTTCCTCCCATAGTCCACTGGGTGCAGGAACATAAGCTTGACGCAGAGCTCGCGCAGCCTGAGGGTACGGAGGAGCACAAGAGACTGACCATCCTTGGGGCAAGGAGGCGTTTGCCAACACCCCAACAAATCCCTGTGCCTCCCAAGGGACATCCAGGGTCAGTCTGCATGACCCGGGACAAACAGCAGTCCTGGAAAGCAGTGGGAGCCCAGAAGGAAAGAGGCAGGAGCAGTAAGAACTTTAATAATCTTCTTTTTCCCCTGCACACTTCTCTCCTTTTTTCCTGCCTTTTAACCCCATCTTTCTTTCCTGTCATTCTGTAGCATGGCCAGCTCCCCCAACTCCAATGTCATCCTTATGGCACCAGTCTGTTAGATGCAGAAGCTGCAGAGAGACTGAGGGGTCCCCACTTCCTCTCTTAGGAGGGCCAGAGTTCACAGCCTGTTATTGTACCATGAGGTCAGGAGGTAAGAGAGAACGTGCGTCTACATGCGACAGCGTTTCGGGGGGAGAAAGGGAGAGAAACCGTAAGGATCTGTGGTTTAGAGTCTCCAGCTTACTTGTTCCTCAGGCTAATGTTCTCTGGTTTGAACACTTCTTGATAAGCAGTTTTGTTGCAAAGGATGAGGTCGAGTCGATGCACAGCCTCCACCACAGCCCTAGAGGGAAATACAGGCAAACAGCCCCTGAGCCATGCATATATCCAGGCAGGCTGGGGCGGGGGGCGGCACTGATCCTAGGGGAGAAGCTGCAGAATTAGGGGCAGGGAAATGGGAAGGCTGCAGGCTGGGCTGCACACAAGATTAACAGTCTCTCCGCCCCGCACCCCCCGACAGAACAGCCCCCTACCCCGGGGGACATTTCTGACTATCACTACTTGCGGCAGGGATTCGAGAGGGTGGGGGGAGTTGCTACTGGCATTCAGTGGGTGCAGCCAGATACCCCACAATACACAGGACAGTCCACCACATTAACTATCCTACCCCGAATGTCCAAGGTGTCAAGGTAGAGAAACCCTGTGATATGAGAAGCTAGACTCTCTTAACGGAAAGAGCCTGTGCTGCGATGCCAGCAGGTCCAGGCTTTGACCCTTGGCTGTGTCTAAGTCTGTAATTTTGGGCAAATTATCTGAGCTCTCCAAGCCTCAGCTGTCCTGTCCATAAAAATGGGGACAGGAATGGCAGCTGCCTCAGAGGACCGTGAGGATGAACTGAAAGAACTTACGGGTGGCCTTGGCATACAGCAGCCATTCAACAAATAACGGTGACATGAATTAATTACTGTGCACGGGCTTATTGTCTCTGACACAAAGGAAAGGCATTCCTAGCATAAAATTCTATTTCTGAATTACTGAGGTATGGAAAAATGGGGGGGATGGCTGAGCTGTATACTGCGTAGTCGCAAGGTCTTCTGGATTCTTTGTTTGATATTAGAGGCTCTGGGTCCTGGGCAAAATATCTAACTTCCTTATGTCCCAGTTTTCCGATCTACAAAATGAGAGTAATATTATCACCCACCGTGTGAGGATTAAATTAGCTAATACACAAAGCACTCATAATCGTGCCTCGTACATGCGGAGCGTTCAGTAAGCATTAGCCTCCATCTTTCTTGTCATAAGGCTAAGGAGGAGACTCCAGACACCATGAGAAAAGGCCAAGGAAACTCTACAATGGATGGCTAAGAAGTGCCAGAGATATGTGTCACCTCCAGAAAGGTAAAACCCACTGGAAGATAGATAGCAGCTGTGAAAACAGGTAAACTCACACATAGCTCCAGGCACAAAAGCAACAAAGAAAGGGGGGATTGGTGATTCCCAAAACAATTCAAGATTGCTTCAGAATACCAAGACATGGGCTACTGGGCCGGGGCGCCCCGGCAGGCGAACTCCCCGTGGTGGCTCAGGTGGGACGCCAGCAAAAGCTGCCCTGCCCAGGGAAAAGTGACCACCAGCACCCAGGTGCGCAGGTGGGAGGGTAATCAGGCCTTCCCACAGGCAATCTTGAGAGCTCAGCATTTCTCCAAATGCCTTCCGGGCTGCCCAGAGAAGGGAGCCAAGCCCTTTCAGCCAGCCTGGCCCTCGATGCCAGGGCCATCAGACAGCCATCAGGGACTTTACTCTAGGCCTGCTTAGTGCCCCAGGGCAGGGGTTCTGAACTTCCGTGGCATGGACAGATCTCAGGAGTGTGTACACATGTCTTTATGGACCACTCCACAGCTCTCCTTAGTTCTCAATCCAAGAAAGCTTAATAACCATTACTCTAGGAAATTCTAATTGCAAATTCTTTTTTTTTTTTTGGCTCAAACGCATGACCCTGAGATCAAGAGGTGCATGCTCTCCTGACTGAGCCAGCCAGGCGCCCCCAAAAATGTTTTTTATAAATAATTAATCGGGGGCACCTGGGTGGCTCAGTCGTTAAGCGTCTGCCTTCGGCTCAGGTCATGATGTTCCTGGGATCGAGCCCCACATTGGGCTCCCTGCTCCGCAGGAAGCCTGCTTCTCCCTCTCCCACTCCCCCTGCTTGTGTTCCCTCTCTCGCTGTGTCTCTCTCTGTCAAATAAATCTTAAAAAAAAAAAAAAAATTAGGGGCACCTGGGTGGCTCAGACGGTTAAGCGTCTGCCTTCGGCTCAGGTCATGATCCCGGGGTCCTGGGATCGAGTCCCGCATCGGGCTCCCTGCTCCTTGGGAGCCTGCTTCTCCCTCTGCCTCTCTCTCTGTCTCTCATGAATAAATAAATAAAATCTTTAAAAAAAAAAAAAATTAAAAAAATAAGAAAAAATAAAAATAGTTAATCGGCCTAATTAATTAATTGGTGTTTGTGGCCCACCCAGCATCCCTTCTACTGCTGCCTTTTCTTCTGAGGGGCTTAAAACATTTCAGAATCTCATTTCTATAAACAGACTGTGGGAATTTCCCAAATTTACTGAAGCTTAGAGTGACAGTTCCGTAGTCTAACAGCACATTTATGTTGGGCAGAGAAATCAGACCTTCCTTCCCCAGTTGCTTCCAATAGTCACCACCGCGCTCATAAAGAATAAAAACAGAGGCGCCTGGGTGGCTCAGCCGTTGGGCGTCTGCCTTCAGCTCAGGCCATGATCCCAGGGTCCTGGGATCGAGCCCCCGCATCGGGCTCCCTGCTCCGCAGGAGGCCTGCTTCTCCCTCTCCCACTCCCCCTGCTTGTGTTCCCTCTCTCGCTGTCTCTGTCAAATAAATAAAATCTTTAAAAAAAGAATAAAAACAGAGTCCTACTGCCTCACATTTCCACCCTGCTCAAAGCCAAGAACTCACAATCACAGGCAGAGGTACCCACATGCACACATGTAAGCCATGTGTGCACACACATCACCTTAAGTCAGTCAGTCCCGTGAGGGTAGTGGGTTGAGGAAGAACTAGGCCTGCAAACGATCAGAAGGATGACCAGGGCCGTTACCAAAAGCTGGAGACAAGTACGGAATCTTGCAGGCGGGGCCCACGCTCTGACGGGCAGTGCTGACATTCAGCAGCGTGACACCGCACATGTGCCAACCACAGCCAACTCCTCACCCGCCTGAGATGGCTAGGTGCAGCCCACAGTGGGCGCCCAGGGGCTGCTGCATTGGATCACTTCTATTTTTGGAGCAGCCTATACTCCCCTCTGCCTCTGACTTAAAAGGCCGAAAAGGCAGGATGCCTATTCCAGGGAGGAAAAGACAACATGCTCTTGACTCTTTCACTGCCAAGATGGGGCCCACCGCTCCAAGGGCCCTGTTCAACAGAGCCTGAGCTAAACGAAAAACCCAAACCCTACGCCCTACTAGAAAGCAGCAACCTCAACTTGGTCTCACACTTCACCCCATTCTGCCCCAGTTCTAGAAACCACGGCCCCGCTGCCCCCCGTAAAAAAATCCTCGACCCTGTGTGGGAAGAGCGCACAGCGGCCTCAACAGAGGGATGGGGGCTGTAGACAGGACCTGCGGAGGGCGAGCGGCGCTGCGGAAACCAGAAACCAGGAATGGAAGGTGCCTGGCAAGAGACTGTAGTCATGAGGCTGGGAGGAAGCGGGGCTCGGGATCAGGAGTACCCAGGTGCCCTGAAATGGGTTCCCATGACCTAGGAACACTCCGGACTCACAGCCCTTCGTGGCCCTTCCAGACCAACACAGCTCGTCTTCAGCCTCTCTCTTTTCATTCAAACTCCGCAAAATTGGAGCCAGAGGAACTTTCGAGTGTATCCAACCCAAGGCTGTCCTCTCCAGGATGCGGACAGCGGGGCCCAAGGTCACACGGAGCACCCGCCTCTCCGGACTGCAGTCCGGGGCGCTCCCCTCCGCCCCCTGCGAGGTTCGGAGAGCCGCTCCCTTCCGGGTTCTCCCCGCCTGCGACCCCACCCTTACCTCCGCGGCCCGCACAGCTCGGGACCCGCCCCAGGCGCCCGGCTGGGGGCCTCCTCCACGTGCGCCCCTCGGCCGCCCGGCCGCCCCCCGCCCTCGGCCCGGGCCCCGCGCCCGCCCCGCTCGCGGCCCGGCCGCGCCCTCCCGCTCCCCCAGCACCCCGGCCCGCACCCCGGCCCCGCCCCCGCGGCGCCCACTTCCCCCGGCGGCCGCACGCACGCCCCGGCCCCTCACCGGTAAAGCCGCTTGGTGTGGAGGACCTTCGCCTCTGGCTCGCTGCTCTCCCCTGGGGGGGGGCCTTGGCTCATGGTGCCCGGGTCCGGGGCGGCTCCCGGTCACAGGCCCCCGCCGCCCGCCGCTACCGCCACCACTGCCGTGTCCGGCCGGAGCCGCCGCCGCCGCCGCCGCCGGCCCTGCTCGGCCGCCATCGCTGTGAGGAGGCTGCCCGCGACAGCCCCTCCTCCGCCCGCCAAGTCTCGCGATAGCAGCTGCCCAGCTGCGGGCCGGCGGCCTGAATGCTGCCAAATCTCGCGAAGCTCGTTTTCCCTCCCGGGAAGTTGCCAGAACTAACTCTGGGCAGCACGGCCTCCTTCCGGCTTCTCCAAGTCCTTGCGGAAAACTTTATTGACAAAGCTGCCAGAGAATGGACAGTGGACACCGTGAGGGGCTGAAGCTGGGCTGGGTCGCGGCACATGGGCCCACAGCTAAGAGCGAGGCTTTGCTTTGCACCGCAGTGGCCGTTTGGTGCATCCTTCCGACCCTTCACCCCGCCCCCCTTATTTGAGCCGCGCCTCTTTCAGATTAGTGCTGATTCCTCTTCTCGTTTTATCCCCCACTTGAACAAACAAAAGTGTATGTGAAAGTTTCCTTCGGAAAGGTGGAACGCAAGAGTAAGCCTTCCGAGAGACCTGAGCCTTGAACGGGCGCCTCGGCCCTCGGCTCCCCATTGCGAAGAGTAACACCTGCAGCCCCGCAAACCTTCGTAGAACACCTGCTGTCTTCCAGCCACAAGCCTGGACTCTGGAGACGCAAGGATGAGCAATCCAGACAGTGTCCGCCTCGCAAAGCTCAGATGTCGTCTGGGCCAAGGTCTCACAGCAACGAGCAGCCACTCTCTCACGTTTCTGCCTTGGAAAGGTCACCTTGGATTCTGACTGCTTTCTTAACCTTAAACCTAGGCTAAAAAGCAAGGTGTTTGGGGGTCTGTGTAAGTTGTAATAGGAACATAAACTCCCTTCCACCTCCATCTCCTGGTTCCAGCCACCATCGTTTTTTCTGTTCCTGAAATCACCTAAGCTGGTCTCTCTCCTGCTGTCCCCTCCTTGGGACACTCCTTATTTCCCATGAGGTCACAGGTCAAATGTCATCTTGGCAAACAGGTTTCTCTCCTCGAATTGACTTATTGATCAGGCTCTTTATTAACTGTTACCCCGATAAAACAAACTCCTCGAGAGCAGAGACCTTGCCTGTCACCTTGTCTTCTGTGTCTGTCTGTGTCTAGAGTAGTGCCTGGCTAAAAACAGGTGCTCAACAAATATTGAATGGATAAATGTAGAAATTCCACTTCTTTTCTGGGTATCCCAACCTACTCCAAGCACCCTTTGATATACAGACTCACTCTTTACCCTCTGCTTTCCCTAGCTTCAAGCTCCTACACATCCCATGTGCCTGGACCACATGCTTACCTTTATGCTCAGCTGCACCCCCACCTTCAGAAAGGATGATGACGTCCTCCGCCAATGCTTTTTCTGTTGGCAGATTCAGCAGGGCGGGGCCCGCCCCTTTAATCTGGGCCCCACCTGCTCTGGTCAGACAGGTTTGGAGACACAGGCAAAGGGAGAGAGACCGAGAGGAATACTTGCAGAGCCAGCAGGGAGCCGGGCAGCTCCTTCCCAGACGTTGGAGACCCTCCGCCTCTCCAGATGGAAAGTAAGAGGGTGTCATGGGTCCACATGGCAAGGGGCAGAAGGCCCTTGAGGAGGTGGAGGGAAGGGACTCAGCCCCATCCAGCAGTAGTGAGATGGAGGAAACAGGGAGGGGAGAAAGGCAGGAGAGGAGGCATGGGGAACAGCCATGACTAGACCTAGAAGTCAGAAGGGACAACCCAGGCCCCCTGGAGATGGAGGATAGAGGACAGGTGCTGGTGATGAGTGTGGAGACTGCCCAGGTGCCCACCTTGGAGACAAATGAGCAGGGTGCGCTACCACTGCCAGATCCTCGGGACAGATTTGTTGGCAGATCATTGGTGTCAGTTACCAGGAGAGCTCCAGGCAGGGAGCTACAAGGAGAAGGGGTGGTTTGAGAATGAAGAGGCAGCTTCTCTGCACGCAAGGAGGCCCCTGGTGGGAAGGGAGCTCCTGGCAAAGCTCTAGACACCCCCTCTTCCTCCCATTTCTGCATTAGGGTGGCTATGACCCCAGGGGTTTTGGTGGAGGGGGTAGAAGGCGTGGGTGGGAGCTGGCCAAGGCCACGGCTGCCAGCGCCTGTGCCCCCTGACTCACCCTCTCCTGCGGGATGACATTTGACGTTGAAAGGGTGTCTCCATTTCACCTGCTCACTTCCTTCCCACCTCCTTCTGTTTCAACACCTTCCTGGCTACCTTGTTCTCCTAAGGTCCCAGAAGGGACTAAAGCCCATGAGACCAGCTGCCCCAGACAGTTCCAATCCCATCAACCTGTCCCGAGGGCCAGAAGCCAGGAACTTCTGACAGAGCTTTCTTCTGCTCCCTCCAGGGTGATAGGACCTCATGGGAGACCCCAGAACTGAGGCCCCAGGATGACAGAACCCGAGACCCTGGCCCTGCTGGAAGTGAAGGGGTCTGAGGCCCTGGAGAAGAGCCCACCCCAGGCATTGGTCCCCAATGGCCGGCAGCCAGAAGGGGAAGGTGAGGCTGAGTCCCATGGAGCTGAGTCCTCCAAGGTGGGGTCTTCAGCTGGGTCTACCATGGCCGGAGAGGGGGCTGAGGATGGTCTCGACAGCACAGTGAGTGAGGCTGCCACCTTGCCCTGGGGGACTGGCCCCCAGCCCAGTGCCCCATTCCCAGACCCCCCCGGGTGGCGGGACATTGAGCCCGAGCCCCTCCAGTCAGAGCCACCCACCAAGCTAGAGGAGTTGTCCGAAGATGATGCCAACCTGCTGCCCGAGAAGGCGGCCCGGGCCTTCGTGCCCATCGACCTCCAGTGCATCGAGCGGCGGCCCCAGGAGGACCCGGTTGTGCGCTGTGAGGCAGGCGAGGGAGAGCGCCGCCGGGCCTGCCTGCCGGCCCGGGCCACCCAGCCCGAGCCCTGTGAGCGCAAGTGGGCCGAAGCCGTGGTGAGGCCGCCTGGCCACTCCTGCGGGGGCTGTGGGGGCTGCAGAGGCCGTGAGGGGCTGAAGGCCGTGGCCTCAGTGGGAGCTGCCCTCATTCTCTTCCCCTGCCTGCTATATGGGGCCTACGCCTTCCTGCCTTTCGACGCCCCGCGGCTGCCTACCATGAGCTCCCGCCTCATCTACACGCTGCGCTGCGGGGTCTTTGCCACCTTCCCCATCGTACTGGGTGAGCCGGGGCCGGGAGAAGGGAGCGGGGCTGGGGGCGGGAGCTCCCCTCCCCTGGGCCCCGTGCGCCCGGCCCTCGCCGGGTGGGAGCCCCACCGCGAGCCCTCCCTGGCTTCCCGCCTGCTGCTCCCGGGCTGACCCTGCGTGCTCTCCAACCCCGCCAGGGCTGCTGGTGTACGGACTGAGCCTCTTGTGCTTCTCGGCCCTGCGGCCCTTTGGGGAGCCGCGGCGGGAGGTGGAGATCCACCGGCGCTACGTGGCCCAGTCGGTCCAGCTCTTCATCCTGTACTTCTTCAACCTGGCCGTGCTCTCCACCTACCTGCCCCAAGAGACCCTCAAACTGCTCCCTCTGCTCACTGGTCTCTTTGCTGTCTCCCGGTGAGTTGGCTGGGGGGTGGGGCTCAGGGGAGGGGACGGTGCTGGAGGGACCCTGGCATCTTGTCTGGGGAGACGGGGACAGGGAGCCTTCTGGATTCTGCATTAGCCCGGATTGCACCCTGGATCCGTGAGTCCACTTTCTTCCTTGCACCTTACCTCACCTGGTAGCAGGTGATCAGCTCTATGTCTTCCCAAAGGAAGTTGATTTCAGGGAGCCATAGACCAACCCAAAACTGGAAGGGCTGCCGGGGGTCACCTAGATCAACCTCCCACCCATTACTGGCACTCCCCTGTGAGACTCTGGTCAGGTGGCCATTGGCCTCTAGTTGGACACCTCCTGTGACCAATGCTCAGTTCTGTGTAAGACAGGGTGTTTCATTTTTCAAAGGTCCCAATTACTAGAGAGACTTTCTTTGTGTTGTGCTGTAAACTGCTATCCTGACTTTGACTCTGGAATTGCCCAGGACAGTTCAAATACTTGACAACAGCCCTGGATGTCCCCACTCCAACACCCTGCTCCTCCACGGTTTACTTTGCCAAATGGTCCTAGTCCCTCAGTGTCCTGTGACCTTCCCTCCGGGCAGGAGAGCCTCCTGATTGTCAGTGGTCACTGGCATTGGCCTCCTGCTCATACAAATGGAGCCACATTGGCTCTCACGCAGCCTCCTTCCTCTGCTTTCATTTGGAAGTCACCTGAAACCCTTTGGGGTATTTCCACGTGAAATGCTGTTAACCTAGAAAGCACTTTTGAATTTCTGAAGGCGCATGCACATCTTTCCATTTTTTCCCCAACGTATTTCCTTTTGTTACTTTTGATGCAGGATTCCGGGTCCCTTTCACTGCTAGAACATTCTTGCTCTTTTTTTTTTTTTTAATATTTTATTTATTTGACGGAGAGAGACACAGCGAGAACGGGAACACAAACAGGGGGAGTGGCAGAGGGAGAAGCAGGCTTCCCGCAGAGCAGGGAGCCTGACGCGGGGCTGGATCCCAGGACCCCGGGATCATGACCTGAGCTGAAGGCAGACGCTCAGTGACTGAGCCACCCAGGCGCCCCAAACATTCTTGCTCTTGAGCTAGAATCTCTGTGCTGTCACTTCTGACTAGTCTAGTGGCCGTCTGTCCCACCAGCCTCCTGGCCGTGGTGTGGCCTGTTTTCTCCCAGATGTTCCCCCAGATGAATGTGTTCCTGTTCCTACTTGTGTAACTCCCCCTCCCATGTCTGTCTTGGGGAGCGCCGGCCTCAGACGGAAGTTGGCTTAGGCAGACCTCGTGCTTGTCTGCCCTTCTCACCCAGTTCACAGCCAGGAAAGCCAACAGACCAGGGGAGAGGAGCTGCTGAGGCCGGCCAGCAGCAGGGCCTGGAATGCAGCCCCTCGGGTGTCCCCAGGGCCCTTCCTTCCCTACCGCGGGCAAGGTGCTCAAGCGCTTGTGCCCGGCTTCATCCTCTGCGGAGCGTGGGGGTTAAATGAGTGACTTCATGCAGAGAACTTGCAGGAGTCTGGTGCCTGGGAAGGGCTCAGCAGCTGGAACCTAGTGTCCCGCTGTGCCTGCTGGTGCAGTGCCGAGGCTCTCCTCTCATCCCATGGGTGAGAGTGGAGGCACGGCCGTTTTGTACTAAGTGGTCCTTCACCCATTAAGATGAAGCTGTTGCCCTCCTGCTGTGTATTTGGAGTGGATATTCCAAGAGGGGAAAGACTCATCCCTTTGGGCTCCAGGCCCTCTTGAAGCTGGCTTCCTTACTCTCTTTTTTCCCTCTGCCCCTCTAAAGTGACAGGAGAGAGCGTGACGATCGGACTTGGGTTCAAATCACGGTTTTACTGTTTCCCTGATGTGCGACCTTGGACCAGTTTTACTTAACCCCTTTGGAGTCTTAGTTTCTTCATCTGCAAAAGGAGAAACCAATACAGTGGGATGTAATCTGGTTGTGAAAGATGAGGAAGCTGGTTATGTACTGCTATAACCCTAATCTCCAAGATACAGTTAATAGGGGAAAACTGTGTGTGGACCAGTCTGTATGGTGTGCTACCAAACTTCAAAACAGGGGAAAAGGAAAACATGCGTCCATTGCTTGCTCATCTATACATAGAGCGCTTGATGCACAAACCGCCATGATACTGGACATCCGAGTCGGGGGTGGAGGGGAGGTGGGGGGCTGAGGGGCGAGGATCTCGGGACAGGGAGACATTCTACTGTACTCACTGGGGCCTTTGCACTTTGAACCACGTGAACGTATACTGCCTACGCAAAAGTTTTTTTTTTTTAAGTATTTATTGATTTGAGAGAGAGAATGAGAGACAGAGAGCACGAGAGGGAAGAGGGTCAGAGGGAGAAGCAGACTCCCCGCCGAGCAGGGAGCCTGATGTGGGACTCGATCCCGGGACTCCGGGATCATGACCTAAGCCGAAGGCAGTTGCCCAACCAACCGAGCCACCCAGGCGCCCCTGCCTATGCAAAAGTTTTAAACTTTTGGAAAGTCAGCAGAGAGGGAGGGGAATAATACATTCGCCTCATGGAGATGCTGGGATGTCTACATTAGTGGCCTGACGTAGCGCGGTGTCCAGCCCGGTAAGTGCATAAGCTCGGGCTGTGTTTAGAGTGTCTGTCGTACCCATTGCCCCCCATCAGACCGTATGCCAGCTAGCTGACGCACTTCCCTCTCCTGGCCCCAGGCTGATATACTGGCTGACCTTCGCCGTGGGCCGCTCCTTCCGAGGCTTTGGCTACGGCCTCACGTTCCTGCCGCTGCTGTCCATGCTGGTGTGGAACCTCTACTACATGTTCGTGGTGGAGCCCGAGCGCATGCTTACTGCTGCCGAGAGCCGCCTGGACTACCCCGACCACGCCCGCTCTGCCTTGGACCACAGGCCTCGGCCCTGGGGCTGAGTACCCACCCCAGCCCTGGCGCCTCGGGGAATGAGCCCCAGTACTGCCCAACTGTCCCCTGCTTTCCCCCGAGTCCGAGTGGGCCTTTCATGTCGGGAGCCTGGGGCCGTCAGGGGGGAGGGTTTCTTGCAGGGAAAGAGGTGGACGGCCGTGTCCCTTATGCGTGCTGAGGACGGGGAGCCAGGACAGGGAGCAGGGGTGAGATTCCTTCCCGAGCAGCCCCCAGCGGGTGCTGCCTCCAGGACCCACTGCGGCTGGCCTCTGCCCCACCCTCCAGCCTCCTGCGAGCCACAGCCAGACTGACCATTTCTTCCCCCGGTCTGAGCAGAGGGCCGCAGGGAGACTGGAAATATTGCCCGTGCCGAAGATAAAGGCTGGGCATCCGATCGCGCAGGACTTGCACGTTTGGTGGAAACCTTCCTGGGGGCCTGGGTTCAGGACCCTCCACCGCTGGCCCTCACAAGACCTTCAGCTTCAGTCCAGACGATTAAAGCTGCCATAGCCCAGAGCTAATACCTTCTCCCTTCCAACCCAGTCAGGCCCGGTAACCTCCCACCTCCAAACTGCTCAGAACACGCTTGTCCCAGGGGAGGAGGTGCGGAGGGGAGGGGAAGCCTGCCTCCGGAGAGGGGTAGGGGTGTGTGTGTGCATGCCCACACACGTGGTGGCTGGGGGGTGGCTGCAGGGCACGGTGGCTGATGTGAACCCCGTGTGAACGGGTGTGTGACAATAAATGACCACCACGGTCTTCCTTGGCTTTTCCTTCATGTTGGACCCCCCCCTCAGGCATCCCTTCCTTGTCTGACGCAGACTGGTCCAGAACCCCCTGCCCCACAGGAGAGGGGCAGGCGGGAGAGGAGAGGGGGCCGCACACGGAGATGTGCCTCCAACGCCCACATCTCAGCCTCTGGTTCCTGGAACCAGCGCCACACCCGCCCCCAACACCCACACACTGAGACCAGCCCTGGGGAGAAAATGAGTCTATTTCGTGCCTTCCAGGGCAGCCAACAAGTCAGAAGGCCTCTCATTTAGGCCTGTGAGTCCCATTCCGGGAAATAGGGCTGGTGGGGCAGGGAGGCATCACCAAGGGACTTCTCCACCTCTAGCATTCACCCTGTTGCTGGTCCCTCCCCAGAGTATGAAGGAAGCCCCATCTGGGGGGCCTCCAGGAAGCTGAGGGTGGTCTCTGAGGTTCTGCAGGGAAGCCAGATGGAAGAAGGGAGCAGCTGACCCTTCAGCCAGCAGACCAGCGAAGCAGGCCCAGAAATTCATGTCCCACCCTCCAGTGAGCGGGCCTCAGTTTATAGGCTGGTATTCTGAGCACTGCTTGTGGCCCAGCAGCAGAACCACGCCTCCTGCCAGCAGCATGAGCCCTGGGGCACCCAGGGCCACTGCCATGATGCCTAGGATGAGTGGGGACAAGCTGTCCACTGGAGGGGTGCCCACACCCAGGAGCATCGACCTAGGGCAAGCAGAGTGAGAAAGACAGGTAAGCAGGTTAGGCAGGAAGACCAGGACGCTGGGCTGCCCTACGTCCACTCCCAGAGCCCTGGCCCCGCCTTGGCCCTCACCAGCTGAGGTAGTGTTCGTCCCAGTAGCCAGGGCCTGTGGGAGCGCCAAATGTCAGATTGAAGGCACAGAAGTTGGTCTGGGACCCAAAGAAGGCTCGAACAATGGGTGACTGGGGGAGAGGGTATTCCAAGGTGAGGCAAACTGGGGAAGCTTGGCAGGGCAAGGCTGAGTCCCGGCCCCTCTGCCTCTGGGAGAAAGCCACTGGCCGCCACTGCATGAAGCCCGATGGGAGGGAGCCCCACACCAGCTGGTCCAACTGGGGAAAAGACAGACACAACAGGATGAGGAGGACTGACCTGTGCCGACCCTTCTGTTCCTCACCCTTCCGTGCCTCCCACTGTCACTAGCTGTCCTGGGGCCTGGGCCTGCCTCCAGGACCGAAGCCTGCTTGCACAAAGGCTGAGTCTCTCCTCCATAGAAGGGGGAGTTGGATCGGGAGCACCGGGTCCTCTCCCAGCCCTGCCCCTCTGCAAGCCTGCACTCAGCTCCAGCCCCAGGCCCCCAGGCCCCCTGGCCCCCAGGCCCGCCTTCCTTCTGTCTTCTGCACTGAAGGCAGAGGCCTGGCCACATTCATAAGCACAGTGACCAGCACTTAAAGGAGCTGAACTACGTTGCTAGTTAGTAAATGGTTATACGAGTCTCTGAGGTCCCACAGGGCTCCTCCTATGTTCCCCCATCCCCCTGCCTCTCCGCTGGAAGCCTGACCTGGAAGACAGCAGGTGCATATTCATCATCAATGGAGTGCTGCTCTTGCACTGAGGGGCATTCAGGGCCCTGGCCCAAGGTGACTATCTCCAGCCCAAACAGGGAGCGGTTTCCCCGGGGACAGGCCCCAACCAGGGCCACCTCCAGCTGGCAGGTGTCCGCTGAATGCAGGAGACGCGGGGCTTGGGCCGGTCGGCTGGAGCTGGGGAAAGCCTGCACCTGGAGTGGGGGAGGCAGGGGAGGCATGGGAAGCGGGCGCCTGTGTTGGAAGGCCACCCCCACCCTCAAAAGCCACCTTCTGAGCTCCTCTGATTCCCCACACCTTACCCTAAAGGCCAGGCTGCCGTTGGCAAAAGCCCCGGTGGGGTCGTGAATGGGGTGGCCTCGAAATGTGGCGCTCAGAGTGGCAGGATCCAAGGAGTCTGTGATGTTGTTCCAGGAGAACTCGGCCAGGGAATACGGGGGATACGGTTTTCCTGGAGGCTTGGCTGACGCCTCGGATGTGTTAGTGCTGTCAAATTCAAACAGCTGGGGGGTGGGGTGAGGTGGGACGGGGCTTGCTGAGTCCCGCTCTCCCTGGAACCACCCCCCACCCCCTCGCAGGCCCCACCCCCACTCGCGGGCCCCCATCCCCAGGCGGCCATTCTTGACAGTCTTCAGTCCCTCCCTGGGATCCGGATGACCCCTCTGCCTCTCTGCCTGCTTCTCCCCCGGCCTCCTCACCCTAGTAAAGACAAGGGCGGAAGAGAACTGGACGCTGCCCCTGGGGAGCACGGTGAGGCCCCCGGCTGGCTCCGGGGAGAGCAGGCAGCTCCAGTTGACAGCCAGGGTGCTGTGGGGGGTGTTGGTGGCCACCAGCAGCACTGCTGGAGGCCCCATAATGCTCCACACGTAGTGCAGGGTGGAGTTGGTGCCCACTGCCCGGATGTGAAGCAGGTTCTGGGGGGCGCCAGGCCAGTCAGGGATGACCTCCAGAGACACCTGGAACACGGGGTCGTGGAGGGTCAAGGGCACGGGGTCGGGAAAGAGACACAGGGCGAAGCCGCTTGGGAAGGATGCAGAGAGGCAAGAAGCGCGGTGTGGGAACTCAGGAATCTGAAAGGCGCAGAGGTGGGCAGGGCCCCAACCACCCTGACCCTGGCGGCAGATGAGGGCGCCGGGCTGGGGGAGAGGTAAGAAAAAGCCCCACCTGGGTCACCCCGGGCCAGCAGGGTCCGGCAGGTGTCCCCCGAAGACAGGGAGCCTCCGCACTCCACGATCCTGTCCCGTGGGCCCCTGTGGCCCCCCGCCCCACCCCCTGCTGCTCTGGTGCCCTCCCAGGGCAGCATTTCCTGAAGCACCCACTGTTCTAGCCCCTCACCTGGCGGGTCTCCTCCCCCAGCAGGCCAAGCGGGGCTGCAGACAAGAGAAGACCCAGGAGGAGCGTGGGGCTGGGGGCACAGTGCCCCCGGCCCCAGCGGGGCCCCTCGCGGCAGCACATGGGGCCCCAACTTCAGAGGGCGGAAGAGACTCGAGTCATGTGACTCGCACCCTCAGCTGATCTCAGTGCAGGGCGGGGCCTCACGCCAGTTCTTAAAGAGACCGCCTCCTTGAACCCAGATCCAGGCTGAAGAGAATACAATCAGAAAGGTTAGGAGCTCTTCATCCCCAGTGGGGCTTCAAGCAAGACACCCCGGACTAGACAGCTGTGCAGCCGTACCCCGGACCTCTCCTACCCGACGGGCTACGCTGGCAGCCCGTAAGGGGCCGCTATGTCAGGATTCGAGATCCCAGCGGATCCTAATACGCTGTGTTGTAGGGATGACAGAGAGGAATTTGACAGAATTCGGGGTGGGAGACAGCGTACCCCAGATGGTTGCCAATTATTATTGGGCCCCCAGGTATGCAGGTTCCTGTCCTAGAAGAGCTCACGGTTTTATTGCAGAGAAAAGGTACTTCAGTAAGAGGTGAGAGTTCACGTCGGGATGAATAAATTTGTCACAAAGAGTTCATGTCTGGATGAATAAATCCCTTTTGTTGCTTTTGGGTGTTTTTGCTTAAAAATATTTTGACTAGGGGCGCCTGGGTGGCTCAGTCATTAACCGTCTGCCTTCGGCTCAGGTCATGATTCCAGCTCCTGGGACTGGGCCCCGCATTGGGCTCCCTGCTCAGCGGGAGGCCTGCTTCTCCCTCTCCCACTCCCCCTGCTTGTGTTCCCTCTCTCGCTGTGTCAAATAAATCTTTACAAAAATTTTTTTTGACTAATAATAATGCGTATGACACAAACTTCACAAGGTCCGGAAGGGTATCATCTTTATTCCCCAGCAACTCTTGGGTCCTTCCCAAGATGTTCTATGCAGGGGTGCCCGGCTGGCTCAGGCAGGGGAGCGTGCGACTCTTGGTCTCGGGGTTGTGAGTTCAAGCCCCACACTGGGTGTAGAGCTTAATAAAGCAAAAGAAAACCAAAGCTCTTCTGTGCATAACGCCCACGCATGCACGCCGCACACATATACATACACGTGCCGCCACCCAACGGCATCCGAACACCGTTCTGCAGCTTGCTTTTACACGTACGCGCTGAGGACCGTCTCTGCACCCGGAGCTCATTCTCCACTGAAGTATTTCACCACAGGAGGATGTCCCATGGATACATCTACCCAGAACCTTGGTAGTTTACAACAATTTGCTATGGTGGACGTTGAAATGAATATCCCTGTATGTACAGCATGTCATACACATTTGAATCCAAATATAGAAGACAGCCAGATCAAACTG